CTCAGCTTGAAGAATTCAAAGCAATTTGCCAAAAAATGGTCATAGGAATGATGGTTTTTATTTCGTTTGAGTTGTATTATTATGGTTTATTGAAGGAGTGAATCGAAGCTAGACTATGTTTCTATGTTATTGTTGGTATTAATGTCATGAATTTATGTTTCGTTGTTCACTTGTGTTAATTTTTTTTATGTTGGATCATGAGTCAGAAAATAAATTATAGAAATCATAAACATGTAAATTCATTAACCTGAAGGTAAACAAAATACATAGATATGCCGATAGGTTCACATTGACCCAAAAAAAATCCAAAGACAACCGATACAGAATTCTGAACCAAAAAAAACCCAAAGACAACTTATACAGAATTCTGAACCAAAAAAGAGTAGTCAATACAGAATTCTGAAACAAAAAAGAGTAGTTAATACAGAATTCCGAGCCAAAATGTAAACTCCTAATAGCCGAAACCTATTTCACTTGTTTCCCGAGTTTGATGGAGGAGCCGGCCTTGGAACCTGAAATACTCTACCCGTATATGGAGTAACAAATATCATGGAAGATGTATTTCGGTTACGCGGTCCTCCAAGGGGTCGAGTTGATCGATAATGAAGACGTTGTGAAGTCGGAGGACCACTTTGGCTGGATTGGACAGAAGGCTGATTACTCTGGCTGGATTGAGTAGGAAGAGGCATTTGTTGAGTTGATTGGGCTGCGGGATGGTTCTGTCTTGGTCTAGGGTGACGATTCTGTCTAGGTCTTGGAGGATGAGCTTGACTCGATGGACCAACCTGGACAGAATTTTGACTCGATTGGACCGAATCGACAGAAACATTGGTCGTTGTTCTGGTTCTTTTTTATGGTTCGGGCTGTCTTGACGGTCAACCGACCTATTTACACAAAGGAAAAAATTGATCAGTAGTTTATTACTGTTTAAAAAATTCTATGAAACACATATACCTGTAATTTTCTTGGTCTTCCTCGTCCTCGTTTCTGGACATTATTCTGCACCGGATCATTTATACACGTATATGTGTCGAGTACACATACGGTGATGAGCAAATGGAAGTATATTCTCAATAGCATTTAACAGACCCTGAAAGCAAATACAAAACCAATAAAATATAATGCATGTTCAACATATTACATATAATGAAATAAAATAAACACAAACTTTACCTTCTGTTTATCTGAAAGTATAGTAATATTGTGTCCTTCCTCCAAGTCCAAGTCTGCTTGTAATTTACGTACAAACCAAGTCCAACTATCGATATCCTCCACGCGTACAACTGCCCATGCTATAGGATAAATCCGGTTGTTCGCATCTCTTCCAACAGCAGAAAGGAGTTCTCCTTTAAGCTCCCATTTCAAAAAACATTCATCTAACCCGATCACAGGACGACAATGTTTCTTCCAAGTCTCACGTAAAACCTCGAAACATACATAAAATCGATCGAAAATTGGTACACCTTTCTCAAGTTTTGTCACAATTTCAGTAGTTGTGTTGGGATTTGATCTCCTAAGCTCCGCTTCATAATCCCATAACTTTGCAAACTGAACTCGTTGATCCTCCATTAACACTCCTAATGCAATTTGCCGAGTTTTGAAACACTTTGATAATGACACAGTCATCTCACAAGTAAGACATTCAACAATGCTGAGGAATTTAAAGATGCTGTTTTCCAATACATGTTGAGTACCAAATATAACGTTAGAATATCGAGATCGGAGAAGACCAAGTATGTTGTTGTGTGTGGTACGAAGACTTGTCCGTGGCGAGTGTATTGTTCAGTAGATGGTCGTTTGAATAAATGGCTGATAAAAACATATAACCCGGATCACAACCACACGAAAGATGGATATGCATCATTATTTTAACTCTCGACTGTCAAGTCTCGGGCTCTCACCTTCACTCTCTCTTTCGTTGGTGTAAGGGTTCGAGTCTCTGGACTGTGGGTCTCTCGTCTTCTCTTTCATTGGTCCTTTTTAGGTTTCGAATCCATGATTCTGGGTATAGATAGAGTTGATTTCTTGATTATTTGATGGAATCTGGGTATATGTTCGGTTCTGCGTATAAGTTAGATTATAGGTTTAGGTTCGATTTTAGGATATAGAACTCGGTTGTGGGTATAGGTTCTATTATAAGTTATGGTTTTGGAGCTCCATTTTTTAATTCGGTTGTGATATAAATGGCCATTTTTAATTCGGTTGTGGATATAGGTTTTGGAGTTCGATTTTTGGTTGATAATAAGTTTTTAAAATTTGTGCAGGGTTACATTTTAATCTACGTATGAAAAATGACAAACAAAATTGATGTCAATTTTCATATTGGAGGAACAATGATAAATGTGGATGGAGAACTCAGCTACATAGGCGGATTCAAGATCAATGGAGTGAAGTTCGATCCAGATAAGTTATCATGGTTTGTCTTTGAGAAGTTTGTCCAATCCCATAAGATATCATCTCCTATTTCTCTGATGTTGTATAAGTTGCCTCATGAAACAATGCAAGAATTGAGGGTACGTCATGAAGATGTAGTTTGGGAAGTTTGTGATATGTGTAAACTAGTTGAGGAATGGAAGAAGTTAGATATCTATGTAGATCATGAGATATCATAACCAAATGTTGTGCTAAGTCTCCCCGATAGTCAAGAGTGTCCGGATAACATTGTTGAAGAAGAGATTCAGAACGAGGATGTTTTTGAGAAAAAGTTCAGTGAAGAAGAGGTTAGGAGTGAAAATGTTGTACCAGAACAGGTTCAGGATGAGGATATTAGGGAAGGATTTAGAGAAGAATTTGCTGTAGAAGAAGAGGGTAGAGAAGAAGAGGTTGTAGAAGAAGAGATTCAAAATGAGGATGAAGAAAATGATTTTTTGTAGAAGGTCATGATATGAACAACATGCTGAATACATCAGTGATGAGGATAATGCCAATAAAGACGACGTTTATCCTCGGACACCAGAAAATACAGCAGATGAGTGGGAGTCTTTTGAAAAGCCTAACTTAGGCGGTCTGAAAAAAAGATTATGTGTTGAAGGAGAGGATCATATAAGCTTTGGTAAGACATTCAACAATGCTGAGGAATTTAAAGATGTTGTTTTCCAATACATGTTGAGTACCAAATATAACGTTAGAATATCGAGATCGGAGAAGACCAAGTATGTTGTTGTGTGTAGTACGAAGATTGTCCGTGGCGACTGTATTGTTCAGTAGATGGTCGTTTGAATAAATGGCTGATTTCACTCCTTCAATAAACCATAATAATACAACTCAAACGAAATAAAAACCATCATTCCTATGACCATTTTTTGGCAAATTGCTTTGAATTCTTCAAGCTGAGTTTCAATCTTCTTAACTCTAGCTTCGATTCTATCAATCCGAACTTTCATTTTCTCATTTTGAACTTCAATCTTGTCATTACGAACTTCGATCTTCTCATTTTGAACTACGATCTTCTCGTCCCGAACTTCGATCTTCTCATTTCGAACTTTGATCTCCTCTTTCAATGATTGTAGTTCTTCGATAATGGCTTCATCGACCCATTTCCACATGTGTGAATAATTTCCCTGAAACGAATCATCGTAATTCATTTACCATTCTTCCTATAACGCATAAACAAATGTGGAACTGACCTCTTGTGATTCGCAACAGAAGAATAATCTTCCTGGGTTTTTTGAAGTTTTTGATATCAATTTTATAACGGAGCGTCCACATTCACATTGCTGTGGTATTCCTTTTTGTTTGGATGATCTAGAACTGCAACAGACTTGTGAATCTGTCGAACTCATGAATCTGAAACTCCGCAAACAGCGTAATCTGAAACTCATCAATCAACATAATCCAACCACAAAGAAGAACTCAACATAAACTTAAATCTAAGAAAACAAAAGCATACCACTCAAATATCAACATGAATCTGAAATCTAAGAAACATAAATCCTAAAATTTTGAAAATGGAATTCACACTTACCTAAGAACCGACGAGGTAGGACGCGAGAGATAGGCTGGCGGTGAAGAATAGCGACGAGTCGAGGAGGAGGACAAAGCCGATGAGGAACAGAGAGGTGAGAGGACTGGCGAAGGGAGATGGAAAAAATGAGAGGATGAATCGTGATTGGAGAGGGGATGAGAATTATAAACATTTAGGGTTTCCATTTTTTTTACTAAACCGGATTGGTTTTTTGTCAAACCGATCCGATTAATTGAACCGGTTAGTCTGATGTGGGCTAAACACATAGATGCTTAGTCGGATTTTATAAAGCTGAATCACCGATTTTTTAGGTTGAACAGTGACACGTTAAACGCCGTCAACGATGAATGTTTTATTTAGTAATTTTTTAAAAGTATGGGTATTTATATGAGAATTTTGAAAAGTACATGTATTTTTTTTTGTTTTATCTGGAAGTTTTGTAAAAGTACAGGTATTTATCTGCTATTTTTCCTTAAAAATAAGGGAATTTCGCAAAACATGCTAAAACAAAAAAAAATAACAAAAAAGTGTGGATAAAAAAAATGTATTTATAAATTTTCCTGATTTTTCGAAATAACAAAAGACTCGTACATTTTAAAAAATCTTTACTTTTGTTGGTTCACCGTTCTTTTATTTATTTTTTTTTATCGTATTTTGTAATTTTTTTAATTCATCATCATTTCTCATTTCCGATTGCTTGCGATTATGATTTCAACAATCAATTTCAATCGTCTATAATCGTCAAAAATAGTGATCGCCGCGATTACGGACGATTGTGTTACTGGCAATCACACCCTTCATGTACAGTCCTAGAAAGCACCCCTCGAACTTCGTTTTGCTGGAGGCCATTTTCTCCGGTGCCCTCCGACAACTCAACCCGGGACATTCGGATAGGAATGCGAAACCTTGGAATGCCCCAAAAATTTGAGATATCCCTACGGCCGTGGCCAATGGACCAGTCCTTTCGTTTATTCTCCGCTGTATCCCGAGAGATGCCAGAGGAGTTTTTAAGCTTCGAATGTGTCCCAGAAAGAGCTTTTGGCAGATCCAAATGATGGGAATCCTTTTATAAAATTTCACGAAGCAGAATGATGGCACTGGTAAAAGAATCTGTTCGACATGTATACAAAGGAAACAAATGCAGGAGAATTGTCTTTTGGGTTTCAGGGAAGAGCAGATTTGAGGGACTTGGTGAAACTCTCAAGCTCCTTAAGCCCTTCCTCGGGCGACTTTGCTTCCCCAATCAGTTTAACCATTGCACTTCCGACGATCACTCCATCAGCTCCCCATCCAGCAACCTGACAAAACACAAGAAACCCGGTTCAGATACATTCGATGTATTGATACTTTAAGGGGACATGGCAAACAACACTTGGGAGGGGAACCTTTGTAAGGGTTCTGACCCGTTCGACGTGCTCAGGCTTTGAGATGCCGAAACCTACAGCCACTGGCTTAGTTGTTGCCTGCACGGAATTGTGACAGGAAAATCTATGAGGGTTTTTACATCTCTCAAGGAATTTGCTGTGGGAAAACAGAAGAATAAAGAACAGAAAAAAAAAAGGGAACCTGTTTGATTTCCTGCAAGAGCGACTGAACCTTTCCACTTACAGATGTCCGTGCACCGGTCACTCCTACTGAGCTCACCTGTGAATCCACATCAAAGGCAAAACATGTTTAGTTAGTTACCCACTTTTTTTCACAGAGAAAAAGTATGTGAAATTTACGACAACAGAGATAAACAAACGATGTTCTGAATTGCAAATGAAGAGTAATCTCACAAGATAAATAAATCCTTCAGAAGCCTCGACTATTCTCTTCATTCGGTCTGTTGGTGTGGTCGGTGTCGTAAGCAGGACCTTAATCGCAAAGAAGGGGTAAATAAATACACACATACAAAATGTGGACTGAAAATCAACGACGCGTGAAATGAGAGAGAGATGTAGCTAAATTTAGATAATTTCGAGTCGCAGTCTCATTGTGTGTACCAAAAGTGTTTCAACAATTTCTACCTACAAGATTAATCAATGGAATTCTCATACAGAGTCCAGACTATCAAGAGCAGATTAAGAAATTGCATGTGAAGTAATATCCAAGTTGAGGGAAGCATTGACATGGTCTCTAATTCAATTTTCGGGTTATACGGCAAATGATGAAACTCACAATCTCAGAATTCCAGTACAAATTAACGATTACACCAACAGAAAGCCTTACCAGTTCGATATTGCTATCGAGGGCTTCTTTCCTCAGCATCTCAGTTTCCTCAAGAGGAACATCAGGAACTACAAGGCCTGAAAATGGGATGAGGTTACAAACGGTATGCTCACATGTACATACATTATATACATACATTATCATATATATATATAACACATCTAAGTATACCGAAGCAACGTACCATGAACACCAACATCTTTGATGCTAGACATAAACTCCCTCAGCCCGCGCTTAAGAATTGGGTTGTAATAAGTGAACAATGAAATTGGACACGATAACTGGGGAACAACCTGCGCAAAAATCCACAACATGAGCATATATCAACATGTACACGCAAAAATTTAATGCAGTTCATCATGAGCAGGCCTAGTTTATCAACACATATCCAAAAAGATTAGCGGAAGGAACAGAACATCCTGCTTCAGTTACTCACCTTATCCAACATCAAGAGAATGTTATCAAGATTGGTTCCCTTAGCCAAGGACCGAGTGGCTGCAGCCTAGACAACCGTAAGAGCCAGATTGATTAAACAACTGAAACCGGAGACATCATTGAAATAATTCACTCAACCTGAAATTTCGCCTAACCTGAATGACCGGTCCATCTGCAAGTGGATCGGAATAAGGTACACCCAACTCAATAATGTCCGAACCGCAGTTATCTAAGATTTTAAGTGCTTCTGCAGTGGTGGAGAGATCTGGATCACCGGCTGTTATATACGGAATTAATGCCACCTTCACGCGTACATACACGAGGCAAGGTGATCAATTACGCAATTGCAGATGAGCAGCCAAATTTGATTGCATTAATAGAAGTAATCGCATAACATCAACATCAACATCGCATTAATCCCAATATTATGTGCAGTCGGCCGTGAATCTTACTAATCTACAGTCTAAATTCTACGTTGATTTCCACCTATTCGATATTTACATGCTAAGCAACTCTGCATGAATCTAATGAACCTATGACAACGAACCGAAAGAGTTCACATCCACGTCCCTTTCTGACAATTTTCAACAAGAGTTGGTTCAAAAACATAAAACCCACACAAACCCATCTCAAAAGAAATCGACTCAAATCAGAAAACTACTAAAACCGATTGAAATTCGCTTACTTTCCCTTGTTTCTTCAGCTCTGTAAAAGTATCCGCAAGGCCACGGGTGGAACCGGAGGTGGTCGCAAGAGCAGCCATCGGCGTCAATCTCCTGAGGGAAACCGATGAGCTACGCGAAGAGCCGGCGAATCTGATTTCTCCATTTCTCGATCGGAGGAAGCTTACTCCGGGCTTGAGAGCAATCGCCATTGGAAATGCGAGCGAGCGAGAGAGAGAGATTGGTGTTTGATGTTTGAGAGAATGCGTTTAACTGGTAGATGAAATTGGAATGAAATATAAAAAACAAGGAGAGAGGGAGACGCAGTTCTTTCACGTTGGGATATAGAAGAAGTGGTAGGTGAAATCTACCGCACCTCCATTGACTGCGTTTTGGTCTCTTTTAGTAACGATTCTATAATTTTCATCATTTTCCAATTTCGGTCGTCGTTATCTCACCCCTTTTCTCCCTATATTCTTCCAAAAAAAATAATGCTTTTCTTTTTTAAGGAATATTACATAATATAATTAAAAAGGACTTATGAAATGGTACTTAATAGAAAAAAGTTGTATTCAATCTCGTCGGCTGTGATTTTGGTCGTGATCTTGAATCGTGTCGTAAGCTTGTTTGTTTTGTCGTCTTTGTTTTATTGCCCAATCATTTATTTATGATATGTAATTTTTAAGAATTTTGGAGTTCTTTAATATTAACGATTAAATTTTTTAAATATTTTTTGTATTTGATAAAAATGAATAACAACAATTATATATTTATATGAGAATTTTTTATACAAAATTCTAAAAAAAAGTATTATATAAAAAATACGGTTACCACAATCCGCTTACAAGAACTATCATCCAAAATAGGCATTATAAAAAATACTCTCCCTCCCTCTACTATTTTGAGAGTAGAAACATATATTTCTTCAACTATAACCATTATGACCACAATTACACGTTGATAATATATTGATCATAACATTAAATTTACGGTGATCAAACTAATTCATTATATTCATCCCTTATATATTTTACTAATATTTTAATAAAAACATTATAAATTTAACATTATGATTATTATGAAACATTTGGTCTTGGAATTATGGTCGTAGCAGCCATAGGATAGAGAAATGTACAGATTGAAATCAAAGTAAGGGTAGTTTTAATATAATACCCATCTAAAACCTATTTTTTTGAAGGAAAAAAAACTGAAAACAACTCAAGACATTTTTAACCCCCATTTTAAATCATGTGAGAGAACGTATGGACAAAAAATCGTTAAAATTTAAAAAAAAATCAAAAAATGGAAAAATAAAAAACTCATTCGACATTTCGAGGCAGTTTACGAAAGAAAATAGATGATTTTATCTCAATAGACGATTTCGAACAATAGATTGGATAGTCAGGGCATTGTCGAAGGCTTTCGATTTCGGAGAGTACAACGATTAGTATGTCGACGATGTCCTAGAGTATTAGTACATTCGAGATCTTCCACAGAATGAAAGCGGGGTGACTGCGGTGTTTTTTCCTTCAAATACTCGAGGCCCGAGCCTCGGGTTATGAATGGAATCAGATCGTAACTAACGTACATGACCAGAATTTGAGTGAAGACGACCTGCGATATATTCGCAAATATGGGGAGGATCGACGTAAATATTTAGCGAATATTTTATTTTCGTTCAATATTTATTTGCGAACATAATTTCTTAACCGGATATTCCATTATTTAATTATGTAAACATTTCATATAAGTCGCACATAATGGCGTCCGACACCTTCATTCACGAATGAGTCGCTGAGTTACGAATGAGTCGTAGAGTCATTTGTGTATGTCAAAATTTGTTTTATAAATTTATAAAATCGAATATAAATTTTATTTAATATTACTACGTAGGTTTGAACATTAACGTTTTTTTGACAATTAAAGAAAAAACGTCGAATGTTCCCCCTCCTTCAAAAGGTGGCGTTGCGGAGTTTACTTTGATATCGTCCATTTCGGAGTCGAGCTTTAGAACCAAACACTTGTACTATATATTGTTGGAAAAATAAGAAAAGAAAAGAATGGGAACCGGATAACTCTTTTAGGCGTGAGGATAAAATGTTATTTCGTCCCAAATGAGCAAACGGGATACCGAAACACGTTTATGAGATACAAAGAAGAGACAGTGATTTTGTTTTGTTCTACAATAATCACCAAGACAAGAAACTTGTGTAGAAAAAGATGAACACAACACTTTTTGATTGATTTGCAAGAACAATCAAAAAGTTCATTCAAAATCTCTCAAATTTGGGTTAGATCTCTCTATTCAACTTGTTCTGACGTCTTCTATATATAAAACACTAAAAGACATAATCAAAAGTTGTAAAATGTGGCAGTTTTCTGGTAGTTTTCAAGCGAAGAATCGCGTCTTCTTGAGAAAACTGACTCAGACTGAGTGACAACTGACTTTTGTTGAGTTACCACTGACGCACTCGCGGACTGAGTTACACTGACTCATAGCGAGGTACCCCTGACGCATTTTACTACCAAAACAAATACATGTTTTATTGATTCATATTATATCATTTACGAACATTTAGCTCCTCCACCACATCCGTAATATGTATAACAATGAATCTCTTGAGAGATTATTATTGCCAACCTTTTTACTCTAAAATATACAACAATCCTCCACCATTTTAGAGTAAAATATCAATGGCGTAACAAGTGAAAAGTTTTCATCTTCGCAATGTTGTGCATAAGTGAATAGTATATTTACGATTGAACTTTCACATAGTGAATTGTACGACAATCATCTTGAATTACATAGGTGTCTTTACAGATTGAACCTTGTAATCCTCGTTGAATTATCGAGTACAAAACACACACAAAATCAAAACAAGTTTTCTTGAATTCCTTGACACTATAATGGCCATGTGTCCATATCCCTTCATAAGCACATGGATATCGAGCCCACGACATCTTGAAGCAGCCAAACTTCGTGCTTGTATAGGTGGATCCTTTAAGAGATTCGTACCCTGCAACAAAGCACTTTGTCAAAGGATCCATTAAGTAAAACAACCTCTTTAACGTTGCATTACTTAGGTGCTTATCTTAGGATGAATTTATTTTATAGCACCTACAGTCACATACTATAGGATTTAACTCATTGAACTCAAGATCTGACGTTGTATTAGATGTTGAGTTGAGATTCCACAAGTTGTGATTCATTCGACAGGCTCAAGTCCCATCCCCAATGACATTTTGTGCACCACATCCCTTGGCAAACTCTTAGTCAAAACATCAGCCAAATTTTGTTTGGTACGCACAAAATCCACCATTATGGCCCCGTCTTTTATCAAACCATTCACATAGCTATGTCGTAAACCAATATGTCTAGACTTTCCATTATATACATGGCTATATGCCTTAGCCAACGTGTTGGGTTTCCTGGGATCTCATGAGCGAATCTAATTCCTAAGAGATCGATTCTAGGGTTTGCGCAGCGGATATAAAACAAAAATTTTAATGAAACCCTAGAACCATGCTACTATTGAATCATAGAAACGTTAGAACGCTTACCTCAATCGATCCGGGGCCTGTATCAATTGATCTGTTCGTCCGATCACTCTAGGCAGGAAGAATACCTCGCCCTCTACACGTATCCACACGTCGGGATGGATTTCAACACCTTGGAACTTGTCTGCTAGGACTAGAGATCTCGATCTCTCTTGTGTGCAAGGTTTTTGGAGGCTTAGAGTTTTATTTTTCTTCTTTTTTCTTCTCCTTTTTCTTCTTTTTCTTCCTCTTTTTTTTTTTTAAAAAAAAACCCTAGAAGACATTCTCCTTATATAGACTTTCCAAAAATCCTAATTTGACAAGGAATAGATTACTAGGAATCCTAATCTAATTAGGTTTCCTAAACCTATTAGAATTCTAATCTCATTAGGTTTCCTAGATGTAATAGAATTCTAATCTCATTAGGATTCCTATACATAACAGGACTCCTAATCCCATTAGGATTCCTATTCCAATTAGGAATCTCAATCCAATTAGGATTCCTAATCGGGATAATTTAGCACAAGTACTTGTCCATCCCTATTGTGTGTGACCCTATAGGCTCATCCGGAATAGCAGTAAAACACAGAATCTCCATTCCGGGAATACAAGTCATAGGCGGTCTCTAGCAAGACACTATGACTACCTATCTCGAATAGAGTTTGTTTGTGATCATACGAAAGCCAGTGATGATTCCGACTGATGATCCTTTTGTATCGCGATATCATATGTCGAACATAAGGCATGGACAAGCCACCTTATCTGATTCGACTGCTTTCTCGTTCACTGAGTTCGACTGTCTGAAATAGACGACGTTCGTCTATAGTGCGGCCACACATTTCTACAGTCTTGCTCACACGAGGGGCCCAGCGATATCTCTCTCTTTTACGAGAGGTACAAATCCCGTATTGACTATCTACAATCCAGTACATGATTCATTTCGTACCTGATACACGCCTTTATAGTCCTCCTGTTACGCAGGACGTTTGACGTAATCAAAGCACGCAACTCCTCATGTTGGATTCTGTAGATATCTCAGGTCTTAGGATCCAATCATAGAATCGTCGTATGAGATTCAAGTCATGACGCTAGTCCATGTGACAATCTCATGCGGGTCAGTCCAGTATTCCGTTCTGCAACGAATACCTATGATTGTGATCGTATCCAATACCTATGATCATCTATGAATGATACTAAACTCCCTAGTCTTATGTCATTATGGGAATAACGACATAATAAGACTAGTATGATGTGTGATTGATGATCACATAGATGATCATAGGTATTGGATACGATCACAATCATAGGTATTCGTTGCAGAACGGAATACTGGACTGACCCGCATGAGATTGTCACATGGACTAGCGTCATGACTTGAATCTCATACGACGATTCCATGGATCGGCAATGTTGTCATCTGTCGACACTCTGCAAATGTGCATGTCTCCTCTGTCTATAATCTCCCTGATAAGGTGAAATTGTCTGAGTATGTGTTTGGATCGTTGATGGGATCTGGGTTCTTTCGCTTGTGCGATCGCTCCATTGTTGTCACAATACAGAGCAATGGGGCTATCAGCACTCGGAATGACACCCAAGTCATTGGTATGCCGTGAAGACGGACTATCTCTCGAAAGAATAGATTGGCGATGTTTTTAGCATCGTCCGTCTTGGCACATGGCACGAAATGAGCCATCTTGGAAAACCGATCAACAACGACAAAGATAGAATCCTTATGTT